GCAGAGGTGTGAGTGTGCCGGGAAGGACGCCTCCACTCACACACACTTCCCGGTGCCTGAGTGTTTACAGTCCAGGCGTCCTGGGAGCGCTGCCCAGCCCCCGCCACTCTGGGCAGCAAGGTGACCCAGGGGTCATCAGTGCCCCGCCCGGCAGGAGCCTGTGCGGGGCTCTCCCCTGCCTCCTCCCCAGGACCTTTGCCCTGAGGGGTGGGGTGGGAACTTGCCTCCACACTCCTGGGAAGGGGACCCACCACTGGGGCCCCGACCCCTCCCTCTCAGGAGGCCTTCAGACCAGAGTCCTCAGTCCCCACGCTGGCCTCGGGAGACACCCAGGCCCTGGCCGGTTTGGCTCAGTGGGAAGAGCGTCGGCCTGCGGACTGAAGGGTCCCCGGTTCGATTCCGGTCAAGGGCACGTGCCTGGGTTGCAGCCTCAATCCCCAGTGTGGGGCATGCGGGAGGCAGCCCATCCATGATTCTCTCTCATCGTTTATGTTGCTATCTCTCTCTCCTTCTCCCTTCCTCTCTGAAAAAAGAGAGAGAGAGAGACACCCAGGTCCCTGGAACCCCATTGAGGACATGACTCCTCCCCCACCCCACACACCACTCTCAAAACGCCTCTTTTTTTTTTTTCTTTCTTTTTCTTTTGTTAATCCTCACCCAAAAAAATGGAGGATATTTTTCCATTGATTTTTAGAGAGAGTGGAAGAGAGAAGGAAAGACAGAGAGAAACATCAATGTGAGAGAGACACATCGATTGGTTGCCTTCTGCATGTGCCCCAACCAGGGCCCGGCCAGGGAGGAGCCTGCAACCGAGGTATGTGCCTCTGACCGGAATTGAACCTGGGACCCTTCGGTCTGCAGTTCGAAGCTCTATTCGCTGAGCCAAACTGGCTAGGGCATCTTTTTCTTTTTTTATAGTGAGAGATTATCAACCATAATCTATCTTTTTTTTTAAAAAACCCTTACTCAAGGATATGTTTTTATTCATTTTAGAGAGAAAGGGAAAGAGAGAAACATTGATGTGACAGAAACATCAATCAGTTGCCTCCTGTACATGTCTCAACCAGGGAATGAGCCCGAAACCTAGGTACGTGCCCTGACCAGGAGTTGAACCGGCAACCTTTTGGTGTGCAGGCCGACACTCCAACCAATTGAGCCACCCGGCCAGGGCGAGAAGCCTCTTTTTCACTTGTGGTCTCGGGCAGCTGGAGCCCCCGGGGTGGCAGGTGCCCCCACACTGCTCACTCTGCCCTGGGTGTGGCCTGGAGGAGGGCCTGTCCTGGGCTCCTCACAGATCCCTCTGCTCCTGACCACTCCTGGGCCCCTCCCACTCTAGCTTTATCCTAGGCTGGCCCCCACGGCCCCCAAGAGGAGTGTTAGGGGGCTGCTTGCGCCTGGCTGCAGTGGGACACAATTGTGCTTTCCGTGGTGGTGGGACCCCACTCTTTCTACCCTGTGGGGCCCCTGGGCTGCGCTGGGTTTTGGGGGTCTGGATCTGGCCAAGTGGGTAAAGGCTGAGGCTGGTCAGAGTTGAGCCTCTGCCGCCCGCTCCCCAGGCTGAGTGCCACATGCGGCCAGGCCTGGTGACTCATGGACCAGGGCAGGCTGTTGGGAAACAACCGGGCAGAGGGCAGAGGGCAGGTCCAGCCCCAGTTGGCAGCCCCACTGTCTGTCTTCCCAGGGGGGGTGGCCTGCCTCTCTCTTCAGGGGCAGGTGGCAAAAGTCCCAATTGTGGGACAGGCCCCCTGCTGGACACTGGGATTCCTCCAGGGTGGAGGGGATGCCACTAGTCGGTGTGCCCAGAGACACTGGCATGGAGCCATAGGGAGGTGCTAAGTCCAGGAGTGCTGGCCCCTGACCCTTGGCCCTGTGCCCCAGGCGAGGCCGGTGCCAACATCATCGAGGTGTCTAAGGAGGCCCGGAAGCGGTTCCTGGGCCCGCTGCACCCCTCCTTCAACCTGGTGAAGACCATCCGCAGCTGCCTGATGAAGACCCTGCCCGCCGACAGCCACGAGCGCGCCAGCGGGCGCCTGGGCATCTCCCTGACCCGCGTCTCGGACGGCGAGAACGTCATCATCTACCACTTCAGCTCCAAGGAGGAGCTCATCCAGGTGGGCCCTGCAGGGGTCACCCGGGGCGCCGCCGCCCCAAAGCCCCGGCTCACCGCCCGCTCTGTCCTTCCCGCAGGCCAACGTCTGCAGCACCTTCATCCCCGTGTACTGCGGCCTCATCCCTCCCATCCTCCAGGGCGTAGTAAGTGCATCTGGGTGATGAGACCCTGCCGGGCGCTGAGGGAGGAGGGTGAGGAGGAAGCTGTCCCCCAGCCCCTCACTCCTGCCACTGCCTGTTGCCTCACTTCCCCGGAGTTACTCAAGAGCCAGGCCAGCCCGTGGCCACTTACACTTCCTGTAGCTGTGCCCCCCCTTCCCCCCCCGCCCCAATGTCTGGCTATTTCTCAGCGCCCAGGGCGGGCCGTGGCCGGTGCCTAGTGGGTGAAAGGCTCAAATGAAACAGCCACTGGGAGGGGCCCATGCGGCAGCCAGCCATTCTGCAGGCCCCTCACCGTGTGACCGTGTGTCCCTGCCGCCTCAGCGCTATGTGGATGGGGGCATCTCAGACAACCTGCCGCTCTATGAGCTCAAGAACACCATCACCGTGTCCCCCTTCTCGGGCGAGAGTGACATCTGCCCGCAGGACAGCTCCACCAACATCCACGAGCTTCGGGTGACCAACACCAGCATCCAGTTCAACCTGCGCAACCTTTACCGCCTCTCCAAGGCCCTGTTCCCGCCCGAGCCCATGGTGAGCGCGCTGATTTCGCCTCCTCACCTGGTCCTGGTCCTGGTCCTGGGGCGAAAGCTGCCCCTCTGACCGCTCCTGAGGGACAGGGCGGGGGGCCGGGACAGCTCTTCTGAGGGCTGGGAAGGAAGCCTGTGGCCTGCAGGACCTCTCCACGGGGGCAGCCTCTCCAGCCTGGATCTGTCCCAGGTCCTGGATCCCTTAGCTTGTGGTGGGGAGGGGTGGGGTTTGCAGGGACCCCAGGGACAGACTGGGTGTGTCTGACTTCCTGCTCCCCCTTCCCTGCCCTCAGGTGCTGCGGGAGATGTGCAAGCAGGGCTACCGGGACGGCCTGCGCTTCCTGCGGAGGAATGGTGTGTGGGCCAGACCCTGGGGGCGGGGGCTCTGCACCATGGCCCCCTCCGCTGAGCTGACCACATGTTTGGTCCTCCCCACCCAGGCCTCCTGGACAGGCCCAATCCCCTGCTGGCACTGCCCCCAGCCAAGCCCCCTGTCCGCCAAGATGAGGACCAGGAGAAAGCTGTGATGGTGGTGGAGAGGGCTCTGGTGGAGGATCACATCCTGGAGCATCTGCCTGCTCGGCTCAATGAGGGTGTGTGGGGGGCACGGCTCAGTGAGGGTGTGTGGGGGGCACGGCTCAGTGAGGGTGCGTGGGGGGACGGCTCAGTGAGGGTGCGTGGGGGGCACGGCTCAGTGAGGGTGGAGGGCCATGGGGAGGGTGGTGGAGCAGAGCAGGGCTGGCGCCACCTCCCCCACTGGTGGTCAGCCTCCCTCTTGCTCCCCCCAAGCCCTGCTGGAGGCCTGCATGGAGCCCAAGGACCTGCTGACCACACTCTCCAACATGCTGCCCGTGCGCCTGGCCACAGCTATGATGATGCCCTACACTCTGCCCCTGGAGAGCGCTGTGTCCTTCACCATCCGGTACACGATGGGGGCGGGCAGGAGAGGAGCCTGGACCAACCTTGGGGACCATTCCTGAGGGTGGTCACCCCAGGGAAGAGGCAGCTGGCAGGGGGAGGATAGAGATGTCAGGGCCAAGGGTGGGGGGTGGGCAAGGGACAGGCCCTGACCCTGAGGCCGTGCCTCCCACCCGCCCAGCTTGCTGGAGTGGCTGCCCGACGTGCCCGAGGACATCCGGTGGATGAGGGAGCAGACGGGCAGCATCTGCCAGTACCTGGTGATGCGTGCCAAGAGGAAGCTGGGCAGCCGCCTGCCCTCCAGGTAAGCCCGTGGCTGCACTCACGGGGGCCACAGCCTCACTT